TTCAATTGCTTTTATTCGAACAATAATACAATGCTCTAAATAGTTACCGATTTGATATATTGGTAGGAAGTTCTTTGAAAGAGTTATCCGTGTTAGTTTGCATATGAACAAATTTATGAATTATTAAAAATTTCACTTAAAAGTGTGATTGCTCAAAATAAAAGTAAAGGTACTTATTTCAAAACATGTCGTAAACTACATATATTTTAAATTTTGTACCTGAAATATGTTTTAATGGTAAATACTAGTATATTATTATATTATAACCTACAATTGATGTCTCCGATAAACATTCGATAAAATAATCAATAATGAAATACTTTATTGCAACACGTAACGTCAAGTAAAAGATGCAAATCACAAAAAAAAATATTGCACTATTAAAACATTAAAAATTATTTTACTTTATTCACACAGTATGGTTTGATTGAGTTGTTAATAGTCTTTCTTCTAGATGAAGGGAATGAAAATTAACAAATAAAAATGACTGGGTGGAATATAAAAATAATTTTGGTCGTATAAGAAAATGTTTGCGTGAAGATTTACCTCTCACATAAGAAAAAGATCAATTGATAAAGTAAGAAGTTACAAACAAGAAGGGTATCAATCTAAAAAGTAGGGACAATGTAATATGTTTGAAAAAAGTAAAAAAATTTAAAGCATTTTGTAATCTTGTATTATTACATATTTTATTTTCTTGTATATGCTGTAAATATATGAGGTTGTATGCAGACATATGTATATGGTATAGAATATTATAAGTATTTATAATAATAACAGTTATTTGTAAAATTAAATTAATATGTTCCATATATTAGCTAAATTTGGTTTACTATTTGCTTCTAAAAACCCTTTCAGTATATATTTTTACTTCATTCATATCTTTTTAGATCTGAAATATTTCATTTCAAGTATATTATTATACAAATAGGTATAGATTCTACTGTTATTATTCATTTTAGCATTCATGACATAACATTCATTTTTTTCAGTTATAATTTGAAAGAATATTGTTCTTAACAAGGCCAAATGGTCTTTTGAAAATTCAATTTGAAATTCATAAAATACTAAGAATATTATTACATAATAAAGCAATAGAGTAATGTGAGAGGACCACATGGTATTTACAAATTTTTTCACTTTAACTTAAATATATAGGTCAACTTAAGAAATAAAGAAATTAAACAAAGTTAATGGTGACAAATATTTACAAAATAATTGAGTAAAAAAAATATAATGCTAATATAATATTGACAAAAACAAAAGCACATATCTGACAATTTTATGTCATAATCACATTATTGAAATCCATTATTAAAACCCAATTAATTACTTTACGTTTACTGTTATAAATCATTTTTTATTTCTACGACAAACACAATTAAAATCATTGAAAAGTAATCATTTCTATTGCAGATAATTAATATTGTGATTATCGAAATATTAATATTTTTTTAAACGTATTATAATAAAATTTCCATATCTTGACCAATTTAACATCCACAAACTACCGCAACTATGTATAAGCTTGCAGAACAAATTTTCGTACGACGATAGCGTATCAAGGATGCTTTCTATTTATGCGATTTCATGACATTTTTTTTAACTTTGTAACAGATACAACGCGTTCTTTAATACTTCTTAAAACGATCACTAAGCAATTGGCAAGTAAACATGTACAAATCGAATGCACATGTGTACATAAAATATTATAACCAACAAAATGTACAAATAATTTTGAAATACATTCCCCATGCAGTGCTTCTCAAACTACATCGAATAAACTAAATCTTCTTGAAAAAAAGTTACAAGCACAAGTAAATCGTTTCCCATATGTTAAATTTTTCTCAAGCTTTTATACAGAAAATTTGAACTTATTAGATTAACCATCCAAATAATAACTTGATCATTTTAATAAATGGAAACGCATAAAAAAGATCTGAGAATCCCTGTTGCAGCATACTGCGCTTTTGCTCTGTATTATCATCGACGAATGCTGCAACAAAGTATACGGTCAACTCTCGAGCGCTACAGTGTCATGAGAGGAAAGTGGCTCAGACGAGAGTTGACGAGTTGAAGGCTGAGAGCATCATGATCCACCCGAATATTAGCGTGCGTTTATCGGAAACGACAAAAAGAAATATCGCAGTACGATAAAAGTGGGGTAGACCGGTAGCTAGTACGTAAGTACGCACGTCCAAGCTATCTGCTGCATAGTAGGAGCTGTACCGCGAGGGCGCGAGGCCGCGACCCTGAGCCCGATACGCGGAATAGAACGTTTCGGTAGCGGAATAGTGCGCGGAACGAATACGTGTCAAACTCGGTCCACGGATAAGCGCGAAGTGGAGCATCATAGCGCACGGCTATCTGCTATCGTTTACGTGTGGAAAGGTCTTGGGGTTCATGATCATTCACCGCATTGAAACGATGATTTTACCAGTCGTTTGACGACGATCTTTTCTGTATTATCACTGCCGAATGATCGAAAACTACTAGTAGGTGAAACGACGAATTTTTCTGCATCTCTCTCTGCGCGGATACTTCGTTGGCATAACCTGTCAGAATCACCGCAATAAGGTTCAAGGGATCGGAATTTTAACAGAAGAATTCTTGGAGAATTGGTGTGTGCTTATTGAATTGTGCGTTAGACGAAACTTCCGAAGATGCCGCTCTTCGGTAAAAAAGACTCTAACAAGAAGATTAAAAAGGATGGGAAAGATGATAAATCGCCGTCTGTCGAGGACAAATACATCCTAAAGGAGCGGCTTGGAACGTATGTACTTATTATACGTCGCTACGGACTGCGTATCGGAAAGTAATAAAACATATTTGTTAGGGACTTTCGAATGTATGTCCTTTTCATATTGTAATTAAATTTGAAGTGATCGGGTATTATTTGATTAATGAAATGATTAATGAAACGATCTATTTTAGTTATTTATCGGTGAAAATTTGCATATTAAACTGTCAAAAGGCTAGTTTTCTTAATATTGTTGAATAATGTATGCGAATTCTAATAACGGTTTATTTTTAATGCGTTTCTTTTCGTCTTGTAAGATCCAAAAATTACTCATTGGCACAAATTTAATTATTTATATATAGATACTGTGGTTTTAGACTTACTTTATTCACGTATTATCATTAAAATGTTTAAAATAGAAAATTGCATTGCAAAGTATTTTATATTTTTTACTTTTTCAAATTGGATTTATGGAAAAATATGTTAAAAATACTATGTGCCTTGCTTATATGGTTTATAGAAATTATAATAATGATTGTTGAACAAAATAAATATTAAATGTGCATTATTTATTATTATAAGATATGTGTATGTAATAAAAAATTGTGTTACATTTGCAACAAGCTTGATATCTTTGTGTTAATTTGTATTTGAAAACTTGTTTGTTAGATACTTTATAATGGATTGGAAAAGAGAAAGTACTTCCTGTTAGCAACAAATATTGTATAACTATCTTAACTTTTAAGTACACTTCACATACTGTTATTTATGTTACTAAAATTACTTTTTTTACTTGTCATATAATGTCTAATATGTAATACCATAGCATGTACATTAAAAATTCTATTATCATGCTAAAACCTTTGTATTAAACATGGCAATGTTAATTTTATTTTACAAAATTAACTTTTAAAAATAAACTTTTTGTATTTAATATTTTATCTTTTAATTTTATGGAATATAATCTTATATGTAATTATATTTTTTTGTACAGGGGTGCTTTCTCTGAAGTACGTTTGGCAGAAAGTAAAGAAAAACCTGGTCAAATGTATGCTGTGAAAATAATTGATAAGAAAGCACTAAAAGGAAAAGAAGACTCCTTAGAAAATGAAATTAGAGTGTTACGAAGGTAAAATATTTAATTTACACTTCTTGGAAATAAATTTATTTGTGTTTTTCTCAAATATCAATTATTTTATAATTTAATCATAAATTTTGTTTCTCAGGTTAACACATCCAAATATTGTTCAGTTACTAGAAACATTTGAGGACAAACACAAAGTTTATTTAGTTATGGAGTTGTGAGTATCTTCATACACCTATAAGTTACCAAGTTCTAACTTCATAATTAACATTTATTTGTTCTACATTAGGGTTACTGGTGGAGAGCTGTTTGATAGAATTGTTGAAAAAGGTTCCTATACAGAAAAAGATGCATCAGGTTTAATAAGACAAGTTTTAGAAGCTGTGGATTATATGCATGATCAAGGTGTTGTGCATAGAGATCTTAAACCTGAAAACCTTTTATATTATAGTCCAGATGAAGATAGTAAGATCATGATTAGTGATTTTGGCCTATCAAAAATGGAAGACTCTGGTATTATGGCAACTGCTTGTGGTACTCCCGGATATGTTGGTATGTTTAATCTTATTGAACTGAATATACAGAGATCATTTTTTTTCATGAAATTTAAATATATGTATTATTTATATGTACAGCTCCAGAGGTCTTAGCACAAAAACCATATGGAAAAGCTGTGGATGTGTGGAGCATAGGGGTCATTTCTTATATCTTGTTATGTGGCTATCCACCGTTTTACGACGAGAATGATGCTAATTTGTTTGCACAAATCTTAAAAGGTAATAAAACTACTTTTGGGTACAAGTTTATTGTCGTTTGGAAGGACTATACTATCACTTCAATTTAGGTACTACTTTTAGGATCGACAAGCACATGCAGCTGTACATTAACTTGAAATTTTCATTTTTAAGGTACTATTCTAGTTTTTGTATGCTGCTATATACATGCTAGTGTAGTAAGTAAATGATCTTTTGTGTGCGTTCGCGTTTTTTGTGAAAGTCGTTAATTATTAATGTTCAAAAAATGAGCATTAAAAATTCAGTCGTGATATCATTGATGTCCAAATGAAAAGAAAATTTTTAAAAGAGGCCTCTACGGAATTACGGGAGAGAAATTTACTTGTATAAAGTGTGAACCTAACAGTACTTCTTCCAAATAAAATATTTATTTTAAAATGAAATAATTCATATTAAAATCGTCTACTCTATAGCAAAAAGCTAACCAGACTGTTATAGGTGAATTTGAATTTGATTCGCCGTACTGGGACGATATCAGTGACTCTGCAAAGGATTTCATTCACAAGTTGATGTGCGTCAATGTCGATGTGCGCTATACTTGCAAGCAAGCCCTTGCACATCCTTGGTAAGATTATTATTCCACTCAGATATTGTATATAATTTATTTGACGTGAAATTATCATTTGCTTGTGCATAAATATTTATATTCAATAACGAAGTCGTGTTCAAGCATTCGCGATATTTCATATACACGTTCTAGAGCGTATCTTTGTGGCTGTGAATTTTTGAGTAGTTGTACTTTAAAAATTCAAGCGATAAAAATATTACAGGGATTGAATTGCCTTTAATATATAAGATAGACGGACTAAGTAAGTAAAAGAATTACATTTATTTCGTCATTCATTAATTAAACTTCTTACATGATTACTGAGTGAATTATCCGCACTTACTCCCAAAATGTGTGCGACAATAGAGAGTTCCTTATTCAAATTAAAATATTGTTATCCTCGCATTAAAACTCTTCAGTAATTCTCACAGATAAATGAACGTTAACATATCTCCTCTTAACACGATAAAAATTGACCAGTGCATCGACACAAATACTTCGATATAGACAATATAATCAATAGAGTCAATTATTGTGAATATGCTTCACTTATTCACGTACGGTTTCACTTACGACGTAGTATCACGCAATTGATCTTTTTTTCAGGATTTCCGGCAACGCGGCTAGCAATAGAAACATCCATGGTACTGTATCGGAACAACTTAAAAAGAATTTCGCCAAATCAAGGTGGAAGGTTAGTATAAATAGATGATTATTTCGCTGCTGATCGTATGTGTTTGCTCGCCAGGCTCCGTAGGAAAGTCTTCCTCTTCTCTCATGGTTGCAGCAAGCTTACCACGCAGCCACGGTCATACGTCAAATGCAACGACTGGCACTCAACAGCGGCCAACAGCAGCAGGGCCCAGGATCAACAGGCCCCTCCAGCGGCAACCCCACGCCATACCCCGATCAATCGCAATCCAACCCCAGTCACCAACAACCGAGATCAGTGGAGCCTCAAATCAACCTCAATTGAAGCAAATGCTCGAGCCACCATCGTTGCCCGTGTCAAGTTTGGTGGCCCCGAATCCTATTCCCATTCCGATCACTCCAAACTCACCGTTATACTTACGCAACAAACGCTTCAAGCTGTGGGGTAGCACACGCACCGCTCTGTCTACTCTCTTTCAAACGAATGTATCGTATCTTAGAAAGCAAAGAAAGTATAAGAAAAGCTGAGTCACGCTGCTAACTTTCTTCTATGATGAAATAATTCGATGCCGCCGAGGTGGTATTGTATCCTCTTGCCGAATATTATTACGATCCGGCAAGAGCTTGTATAGATTCCAGCTAATCTGTTTCATTGTGGTCTCCTGTGACACGGTTACCATCGATTATGTACATTACAAAATTCGTACATATACACATATATGTATATATATCAAACAGCCCGCGCGATATAAGGCGATTTTCCCAATATTCTTCTGTTTTATCGCCCTCCTCGGTTTTGCAGGCTTTGTTCGAGCAAGTTATAATAGATTTTTCACTGTGCATTTTTTTTTTTTTTTGGTATATAAATTCACAATAGACTCGAATCTGTAGCCGTCGATAGAGGTTCTTGCAATATAATACGGCATATAATTTGATCAAGTGAGATGTTGTTAATATATATTTAGATAAACTTCATGCAGATTATGAAATCTCACGATACTAAGAAAAGATCTTGCTGGATCAAATCTGTTAAAATGTGTAAAAAAAAAAAACAATGTGAACAGTACAACGACAAGTTTTTAGCTTTTATAAAGTTTGGTGTAACGAATAGTGGCTGTTTAGATGATTTTTTGCGATGTAAAGATCTTGTTGTATCCTGGCAAATATGTTTTAAATTCTATGAGAAATTGTATGCTCAGCTTCTAGAGTGTTTTATTGGTATAGTTTGACACAGTCGTGAGGAAAGAATAATTTTTAATTTCAAAATGGCAGTGCTTTCTAAATGAATTATATGTAGAAATTAGAATTTTTCTCACCAGGATATACTAAAAAATTAATCTCTCGCAACTGTGTCATGATAATTGTACGAATGAAATACTCCAACGCAGGTTTTTGCCCGGTACTTTTCAATGAACGATACAATCGAATGTACTATCTTTTAACAGCGTTTTTTCGAAAAACACGAAGCAAAAGGCAAACTTAGCAAAAGATGTTTTTGTAAGACAGACTGCTCCAAAAACAAGAGAGAGAATCTTGCCATACAAAATAAGATATATATATATATATATATATCTTATTTTATGACATGAACATAAACGTTTATACAAGTCATGTACAGTGCACCGTATTGCAAAATATGTATATTGTGTACACAGGTACTCCTTCTGTTACATAGTGATATTAGTACACTATAAGAGCTCCGAATCAGAGATCTGAAACTAGATTTAATACGTGTATACATACGTGTATATTGCTCTACTGATATTTTTATCGATATGTTGCACTGAAGGTTTTAAATGGAAAATGTACATAATTCATACACGATTCCCCCATTTGTCTCTGTGCAAGATGCAAATATAAAAAGCGAATTATATAGGGTCGAAATTTTTATTTTCTTGTACAATATTTTTAAGAGCAACGATATTTTGTATACTGTGTAATTTTATTTGATATAATCAATTTTTTATTATATTTCTATCGTATTAGAAATTATCAGAAATTTGTTTTAATATTAAGATTGGCTTGTCTTTGAAAAAGTAAAAAGCACAAACTTGGTATTGGATTAGTTAAGAACTAACAATTAATATCCTACTATATGTGTTGCAAAAGGATGTACATATTATTTATGTTACGCAACTTGATGTACATGTGTAAGTACTATCGGTGTGTTACGAACAACTCGATACAAATATTTTTGTATTTAATACTTGTTGTGGAGTACGATGATTATTATATTAATTGTATAAGTTCCAAACAGATTGAAATATAATCTAGCTATTTATATTTGTATCTTATTGTAATGTGAAAGATCAGAGAATCGTATGCGGTACTCAGTATTTGATTAACAAACAGGTACTTCAACGAAACGTTCGAAAAATACTTTTAGTACTTGGTGGTATTACTTTATTTTTTTACAAGTAATTGCAGACAAGTGCAATAATACTGTAGTCTTGTGATAATGATGTTGCTGTGGTCTCTCACTCAGTGGTAAATCGATATATATAAAAAAGAAGAAAAATATTAATGACAAATGTTGAGAATTTTCATTGAAATAGAAATATAAAAATCATCTTAGTTGGAATGTACAAAATGATTTTTCACAATGATCGATTTCGGCGTTTCGGAATGTTTTCACTTAAATTACCAAGTTATATTATGTAGATGAAAAACGAAAAACATCCAATTATGTGTTAATATGCGTAAAAAAAATTGTATCGACAAAATTCAATGTTTTTTCGTGTCCTTTTAAACGTGCTTTGAAATAAATCTAAATTATATTCCAATGAAAAGAAAAATATATCTGAGAATCATGTGTCATATATTCGGATAAGAAAAGATTAATTGCTGTTTATCGAGCGGGCACTCCTTTTATCATAAACTACTATCTCTTTCTCTTTAACTTTAATCTATAAACATGATAATCACTTTGAACTATCATATTAGACATCCGTCCGTGTACCGGGCACTATTCGTGGTAGTAAATTACTATATGAAAAACGGTAATTATTCATATAACATTAACGTAATGATTTTGAAATTGATAATAATTATATTAATTATAAGATAGATATTATTGTTCTAACAAGCATAACTTGACATGAAAATTGATTTAGAATGAAACTTGATGATAATTGAAGTACGTGCAGTAATTATGTATTCTTGTCAAAACTTTGTAGTATTAAAATTTCAATTGATAAACAGTTTCATTGCGCAAAATAACGTACCATTTTAAAGTGCCTTGGATGACACGATGATGGTGTATCGAGCGGAGAGAATTCAAAATATATTACGTAAAGATTACATAAAAGTAATACTATATCCAAAGTGGTTAAGATTATTGTATATTGTTATAAGTTACAATCAGTAATTAGTCTATTCTTTAATTAAAGTAAAAATATTTACATTTTTATTCTAATTTATATTTGCTTGAATTGAATTCATGTATTCTATTGTACTTTTTTATGTAACCAACATCGTGTCATCTAATAGGAAGGATTCGTTAAGAAGCATTTTTTTATGCTAAATATTTGTGCGTTATTGATGAGCTTGTAATTTAAAAAATTCTAGAATGAAATAAAAGAAGCTTAGCTTGTATTTAAAAATGAACAAAAAAAGAAAGAAAGAAAACGAAGAAAACCGTGCCACACGAATAAACATATCGGCAGGAACATTGCAAAATGTGATTGTAAAAATAAGCTGATTTTAAATAGCAATGAACAGAAAAAACAACTTGTTACTGCAGTTTTATTCGATTTAAAAAAAAAAAAAAACTATAACGCCAGACTGATAGAGTGTGTATGGAGCGAAAGAGAAAGAGAGAGTGTGAAAGAAAGAGAACGAGAGGGTTGGGAGAATGTACTGTTGATTAAAAAGTATTTTAATTGTTGCCTACAAATTAAGCGTGAACGCGCTCCTATATTTATCGACCGATTACAGGAACAAAACTTCTTCCTATTATAACTTTTTCTCATTACACAAGCCTTGCAATTGTTGTGCTTGAATTTGTGCGTGTGGGGACTACTATTGTCAAGTGTTTCATTGTTAAATTATTATACGCGAGATATGAAAAGGCAACGCTGTTTTAGAAATTAACAATACGAGTTTACCAACTTTACGCAGAGGATCTTAGTAATCAGAATATATTATACTAGTTTACAGTGCCAATGTATTTCATATACCCTTTAAAAGAACCGGTTGAAATTGCTGATTCCTTTGAGATATGTAAAACATCAAAAACTGTGAATTCGATACATTTAAACGTTCGATACTATCGAGAATAAAAACGATTAAATTTGTAGTATGCATTGCTTGACAAGATAGTAATTTATTTTATTCAGAAAACTAGCTTGTAAGAGAATCGTAAAAAAGGCGGATATCAAATAATTTTCGGACTTTTTAGCTGATTCAACTTCTGTTTTTTCACGTCAATGCATTAAGCTAACTTTTTCTAAGAAGTTGTCTTAAATTGTAAGTTTATTGAAGAGGCAAAACGCAAATGTTAGAACGCTTACAAACTATGGAATAAGTAAAAATAATTACTTATTTAATACGCGTTTAATGGAAGTTCCGTTTCGACCATGAAAAGGAAAACATAGTTGATGCAAATGGTAACAATAATAATAATGATGATCATAATGATAACATTTACAAAAGTTGCATGTGTTTGCGTTTTTATACAAATTATTTTAAATGCATTAACAATGATATGCCTTAATTTATATTTTAAGTAATAAATGTGTAACAATTTCGGTTTGCATACAACAGATTAAATAAGACATTTACATGATTGTTACATTTTATATTAATGATTTATCAACATACAGTGGCTGCCTTTATAAAACGTAAAATTACGAATCAATAATACATGAAAGACTTGAAATTTATCAAGTCTTACGTGTACAGAAACTTATTTACGATTTATTTTTCGTTTTTTCTTCTAAGTAACTATAAAAATCAAATAGCTTGGGCATAAAAATAATTTAATAAATAGAGGCTTACATTTAATAATTTAAGAAAAAAAAAGTTTACATTACATCATATAAAAATCTAAAATGTTACATTTTTCAATAAATATCTATATTTTATTTGATATTTAATTATAATGATTTACTTCTTTCTTACTCAACTGATGACATTGTACTTACGAAGTCTATCTATAATACAGTAAAGAATACTTGCATGATTCATAGATACATGTAACAAGCAGTATTAATATTTATTAATTACAATATACAAAGAAAAATAATAGGTTTCACGTATTTTTACAGGACGTAATGTAAACTTTTATTTTCAACTGTAAACCATCGCAGTCTAGTTTGTAATACACGTTGATTTACTATTGATGGGGTATGTTTAAAATTTAGCTTACATTTCAAGGATGTGTTAATATCATTATGTAATGAAACATGTAAATGACATACACACATATATGTATAAAACTGTACTTAGTAAAAAATTAATGATTAATCTAACGTTCATAATTAAAGTTACATGACAAAAATAAATGATGCAATGATTCTTCCAATTTTCAAAAATAGCAGCCACGGAAGATTAACATTAATATTGACATTTAATATATTACTATGCATCGTTAACATTCCCGTTCAGTTGAGGCTAAATTTTTCTGGCTTCTAAAAATCGTATTTTACTGATTTTTTCAGTCTGTCTTATAATTTTTTTCCGTTTAATTAGTTATACTGATAACACGTAATTGTACAACTGAAATGAGTATGAAAAAATACTATAAATAGAAAATATCTTGCATATATATATATACCCACACACACATACATATACGCGTGGCTTTTTGGTAGTAACATCTAGAAACAAATTATTGGCCCCTTCTTCTCTGTAACTCGCATAATTTCTTCTGTAATCAACGCTTATCAATAATTAAACATAATGTATTTGCCACTGTATGATCGTATTCGTGATTTAAACACGAACATAAAATTCTTGTATATTTTCAATGTAGAGATTCTGTTCATCATTTCATACAGCTCGTACATTTTCAAATAAAAATACCACGTTTCGATATTACGTATTACATCAAATGATATGAACAAAGCACTCTTACATTATATTAGATACATAGTCTAGCCTTCGTATGCATTTAAAGCTTCCCGCAATTTATCTACAATCTTTTGATAAAACGTAATTTGCTCTGTAAGATGCGTTTTCATCGCCTGAGTTAAATGAATCTCTTGTTCCGTCTGAAAATGCATTTCTTCAGCGAGAAGAGCACGTGCCATCACGTCCGTTCGTTGGGAGAGATCTCGCAATTGTTGCAGCTCCATTTTATTCTCGCTTACTAGCCTCTCGCAATCTTTTCGCTTCTGCACAGCAGTCTAAATATATTTAAAGGAAAAAAAAGAAAAAGAAAGTATGTTAGCAAATATTTTCAAAGATGTTTTCATAAAACTACATCGATTGTAAGATAATAGAACCGAATTTTCTTTATCGATTACCTTGTGTATACTGATTACTTCTGGGAAGCTACTGATAATTCCTCTATAAATATGAAATTTATCAGCAAGAGGTTCCCAATCAAACTTGGGTTGTTCCTCGTACAATTTGCCTATATCGTTATAGGCATCTCCCGTTACTTTTAACGCATAAGTCAGTCTTCCTCGACTACTGTCGTCACCTTCTAACGCGTGACCTAACGCGCTAAAACATTGACTAATTTTCTGGAATTCCCTTTTGTAAAGAGCCTGACTTTTCTTCGTTTGGTCAACAGCCATAGCCATAAAATTCTTAACTACTGGATCTAATCCGTTTATAAATCTACTAAAAGCGTCCGTTTGAATTTCCACCTTTATAACGTCTAAACTCGTTTCAGGGCATTGAATGGCATTAAAATAAGTTTCACCTAACAATTCGTCCTTCTCTGCCTGTCTCTTGCCGGCTTTCCACCTTTTCTCATCTGTACAAGTCATAAAATGTTCCCAAACGCGACTACGCGCAAGCACAGGATGTCTACACACATAATCGACGAACTCTTGCAATTGTGTGCGTCGATGTTCGATAAATTGTTCTTCGTATCGTCCAGATATTTGTTTATCTGGTAATGGTGGAATAGGAATAAAACAATATTTTTCTTCTAAACGTTCACGTAGCCAATCAAAGTGTTTGTATCTTCTTGAAACTTGAATATTATTAAACTATAATACATAAATTATTATTAGTGGTACCTCTAATTACAAAAATTTAAGGAATAAAATTAAATATTACCGTTGGTGTAAGTTGGTAAACTATAAAACTTTTAAGACCCTTTAGTTTAGATCCCTTCTTAGGAGATGTGACTACACAGTTGTAAGAGTCTCCTCTTGGAGCCCATCTATAGCGTCCATTTTCAATCTCATCTATATATATTTTTTCACTTTCAGGAACATTAGCTACTTTCATTCCTAATAAAAAACTATCTTCACCAGACTTAATTAATGTAGAAAATTTATTGTTTTTCTTTGGTATGTTGGGTATAGGCCTTTCAGGTATCACAGAATGATAAGTTTGCATAGAAACTGAATCTCCATAATCAACACTATGCTGTTGTGGTAATTGTATCATATGCTGCAGTTGTTGTTGCTGCTGTTGAGGAACATATGCCTGTGTTTGACCAACTTCAGAGTCATCATCCCAATCATCATCCCAATAGTCTCCTGAACTCTGTTGGGATGATGTCATAGCATCTAACACATGAGAATATTTGAATATGACAAACATTAAAACCATTATATCTAATTAAATGCAAAATAATTCAATGAGCATACTTGGAGCAGATGCTGTTGTTTCAACAGTTTGAACATATGCTGCTGGAAATAACCCAGACTTTCCACTCTGATTAAACCCTTCACACCATCCATCACCCACATTATCTCTCATGACAGTCAACACTTCTCCTGCTGTGATGGACAACTCTGCTGTTCCTGGCTCTCCAGTAAAGTCATACAGCGCTCTTACCTGAAAAAAAAATCGTACATGAGCGTGGCAAACATATACCCGAAATACAACGAGATTATCTTTAACTGCCTTATAAAAGAATGAGTCATAATGCAAAGACTCGGTTAAAGTAAGTGACACTACATGGATTACTTTTGTTTTTCTAGCAGGTTTACATACCTGGCGGCCCTCCATTGTAAGTACATATACTAATAGCGATTTGAAATTCGAACTATTGGTGCGACAAGTTTTTTCGTCTCCCTGTTTCAAATTGTTTGATTACACCCGGTCACATACCTACACCGATCTGCTTAGCCGTATGACTGACATTTACGTATTTGCGCTTTAACGTGTGTGCGATTTCGTGGCACATAAATGAACAATTTAAACGACTGTACCACTAGTGTCCACGGAACATAACACGCTTTCATGACTTCGGAACGATCTGCTTCTTATACATGAAACATGTTGATACCGAAATCGAAAGAAAATTCTAGACGATGGTAGTAACAGGTTGAAGGAATGTAACTTCACCAAAAATATGCGAAACTATTTTCTAGTTAGAGGTTAGACATGAAAGCACGGGGCGCGCGAAATCGCAATCCGGTACTGACTTCGGATCCGCCTCTATGAATCAACTCGTATCGCGTATTTAACTTTTGTTCCAGATTGTACGGATCAAGCATTTGATTGTAGCGAATCAAAATGACATTTACACAAATAAAGGAGAAAATGAAAAGAAAATGTGTACTGCAATGCATACAAAACGAGAAAAATTAAATTACTTAAATTTTCATATATATTAATAGTAATAACCAATTCATTGTATAGATTGTACTAATTTAATAAAGTGTATTTTATTTTCCGAGTTTCTTTTCTCCTTTTTCACAACACAATTGAAAAAAAGTTCATATAAGTTTAAAACAAAAATATGTTATCAAAAAAGTAAAAACAAAGATTAAATATAACTATAAATTGTTTTATAAATCTTTATTGTTTTTAATGTCACTTTTCAGTTTTCAATATTACAAATTTTTAAATTATAGTTAAGAATATCTCAATGTGAAGACTTTGATTCTTTTGCATTCTGAAGACTTTGAGTAATATATAATTTAGCTAAACTCTGGGCACAGAATTGTGAAATATGTTCACTATATGTATTAATCTGTCCAGCCACAATCATGGGGTTCAGTCTAGGTGGAACAGGTAATGGTCTCATTAGTTTATTGATATCATCATCTGGTAGTGGAGGCTCATCTTTAGCAGCTCTAGCAGCATTCTCTTGAGCCCTCTTAGATAAAAGTCTATTCTTTTCTTGTTGCTGACGAACAACAAGCTGTTGATACCTATTGAATTTCATGGCTTCTTGATTCAATTCATCTACACGATCCATTAAGCAGCGTAACTGATTCTCCAAGACTGTAGCTGTTCCAAGATCCAAATATTTAGTACCTTCCTCCTCAGGAATCATTTCCTCCAATTCAGACATCATTATATTGGTTAAATTACTATTCTTTATCACAACTGGAATCTCAATAAACAAACTCTCATAGCCAATCTTCAAGGTACGTAATGCTTCTGGTGTGAATTCACCTTCTTTATACATCTGTATGGCTTGTGGTGTAAGCCTATATGCTTTTAATGTTAGAAAACCTCTGGCAGACTTCGCTGTATCATATATAAGCACTACAGATTCTTCAATAGAAGTTTGATAATGATACTGTGATTCTAACAGTGACACGTTCAAAAAATTGCCAACATCTGCACTCTGATACCATCCAACATGAAAATGATCAACATTGACCCTGTAAAAAAATTATGTTGCACTTATTTATATTATTATACTTAGACAAAATTATTGAATTTAAATGTAATTTACCATCTAAGACGGCGCATCATGGCAAGTTGATATTCTTCTTCATCCATTACTTCGTCATTTTTAGGAAAAGGGAAGCAGTTCGTAATTTCAAGGCGATTTTGCACAACTAAACCGAGCAAAGCACCTTGAGCAACATCCATGTTACTCATTGATTCTTCATGGCAATGCTTTACCATTTTCATAACTACCAATCCGTCGCATTGCACGTAATCTATTTGCGGTTCCACTTCGGGAATTCTTCTAGTTTGTGTTCTTGAATTCATATTTATTTAAACGTTAACACTGTTTTAATTCAATATTTCAACATATGCTCTTAGTCGCCTTTTTGTCAACCTAGGTTAAGTTACAAGGAAACTTGCGCTTTCTATCGTCGAAGTAGAAAGCACAAATTAAAGAAAACTAGATAGGAAACTCGTCATGTTATAGCGTAGTACTACATTATAAATTTTAATTTTAATTATTATTTTTATAAGGGTACAAAAAATAATAATGCTATTAATAGAAATGAATATCCAATGTATATAACGTTTTGTAATTAATAGTAATGACATTAAATAACAAATACTTGATATATTATTTGAACGCAACTTGCGTATTCTTATATACATTTATTTTATGATATATTTGCACCGCGTTAATGTGAAATGATCTGTAACCTTCGTGAGGAAATTACAGTGTATACAAACCGTTAAAAAATTAAACATTTACCACAAAAATGAATAATATAGAAGGAAAAATAAAGAGATGGATTGAGAACTAATTAAAAAAGAAAAATTAAGTGATGCAATAGAAGACATTCAGGTTGGCAATATTTTTGTAATAAAATTTTTTTTTGTGTTTATGTATTTCAATTTAAATTTAAAGTTTACAAATTTTACGATTACAAATGAATTTTGTAATTTTTCATGTGAATAATTATATTTAATTTTTCCAGGCAAATATTTCTACTAAAAATAAAAAATTAAATGGACAAATTTTTAAATTGTTGTTATATTTATCACATACTGCAGACAAGTGTAATAAACAAAATCATGCTACAGGAAAGGAAATATATAAATTAACTTGTTTACTGTGCTCAATTTTGACTAAAATACCAGATAATATAAAGTTTGTTTCTAGTTTATTTCATATAATTCGTTGTTTATTAGCAATGTGCATGTTCAATGAGGCATATAAAATATGCTTGAATTTAAAAACAGAAGCACTATATTGTTCTCATGAAAATGTGAGTGATATATTAGTGAAGATTGCTTTTTTATGGTGTAATACAATTAATAATAAATTTCTTATTCTACAAAAAGATCCATCAGGTTCCAAACATTATTATGAATTGAAAAATATTATAAAGTATGAATTAGAAATGATACAGATAGCATATAAAAATTCTACAAAGCACTTGCTTATGAAAATAAGTTTATATTTGGATAAAATAGCATTGATGTGCAAAGAACCAAATATATGCTTTGTTAATTTTTCTACATTTATAATTGAATACTTAAATGAAACAAAGATACTCTTAAATAAAGATGAAAAATATATCATATGCCGTCATATGCTTCATATAACAAGTAGGATCATGTGTGAAAATATCAATGAAAAGTGCCTAAAATCAGCTATACAGATTTTTAATACTATAAGTGATTATTTTAAAAAGATTTTACTAGAAGATGAAGAATGTTATCAATGTTTTTTGCTATGTGAATCCCTGTGCCTCACAGTTGCAAAACCAGTTGAATGTTTAGTAGAAAGTAATGTTAAAAGCATTCAAGATTTGAATGATAGCTATGTGAAACTTACAAAACAGTATGGATACACAGGAGCAATTAAATGGACCACATTTAGTATTCTACAAATTTTAGAACCTTTGTTTATATATTGGGAAACATGTATAAAAGCAACAAAGAAAATATACTTAAAAGATGATTTGTTACTGGAAACAATGAATTTAGTTAGATGTATAAGTACATGTTTCAGTAAACAAACATTAGAGAAATGCAAGTCTTGTCAAAGTGAAAATTGTAATATGAGAAAAGATACATATAATGCAGTAGTAATAAAAACCAGATGCATTAATTTAATTAGCAAGTTATCTGCAAATGATTTGTCTAAAAGTATAATCATACTTGTCAGAAAATTTTTAGAGCAAAACATAGTATTTATTTATGAGATGAAAGAATGTAATTGCAAATGTTGGACACATTTATGGCGCACTAATGGTGCTTTGATTTACAATTTAGGCATAATGTCTGACTGCTTTTATGAAGAAAGTGTATCTTTATTTTCTTTACTATTTACTTCTATTATACAATTTGAGGGAATTCAATCAAGATGTCAATATATCAGTCTTCAAAACCCTGTATCCTTAACATTACACAGAATAAGTTCCCTTCATTACAATCATGGTATGTACAGAGAAGCAATGACTGCAACTGCATTAAATGCTCTATTAAGTTATAATGATTCAGAGTCAAAGGCATTTCGCATGTGGGCAAATATAAAATACAAATCAGCCACCAAGGAAATAATGGAAATGACCATACTAACTTGCTTAAAGAGGGATAGATTAAAAATGGAGGAGCTTGGTTTATCCATTGAATTATCAAAGTATGATCTCGTTCAAATATGTTTAAGAGAAGCAAAAAGTTTGCAAGAAGCGAAAGTGAATCTTTCAGCCGCTATTCATGAAGTTCTTAACGATTTGAAAACATTAAAAGCATCCCCGGTAGAATACGCTCGCGTTGTTCAAATGTTAGCACACCATTTATCAAATTTTGATTATAATGAGGATATTTCAGAATATCTCAAGCGAGCTATGTTAAATTTGAAGCAACTTACACCAAATGCCTCCACTTTATGTTTACAAGCCAATTTGGAATTTTATATGTACATTACTCAATTACACACTATGAATCAAAAAACTCAAATCGAAATGGAAAATACCAAGTTTGCATTGTACGCTCCGAAAATAAATGAAATCGGGGAAAATGAGTCCTGTGACGTAGTTCCAGCTTACAGCATGATCAATGTCAAAGTGGATTCTAGGCTTATGATGTATTTGGAGATACCATTAAAAAAGTGGAACAAATGTTTGAAGCAAAATCTTGTAAGCTTAATAAATGTAACTTTAATTTATCTTTATTTAAAATTAATTTATTGTTAAATGTCTTTTATATTAACAGAGCGAAGTTGCAAAAGGATATGAACCAATGATAACTCTACACACATTAATAATAGCTGGTGAATATGCTCATTTGTATAGATATGAAGAATATGAAATTACTATTTGGAAACTTGCACATACATTAGCATCTGAAATGCAAAACAATTTTGCGATCATTTATGGTATGAATACTTTAAATATCGTTTTTCTTAAATTTAGATACATAATTAAAAGACTGATTAATTGTTATTAGTTATTGGCCGTAGTATATCATTGAGATATGTCAATGATGAATGGATTTCTACTGCTAAAGAGCTTGCCATCAAACACAAAGATACCAATGATGATGAGACAATTTATGCAATTGCTATTTTTTGGATAAGCTTGTCAGACTTCTATTTTGAGTGCAATATGGTAAATTTACTCTTTGTAAATTGTTAAAAACAATTTTTTTTATATATAACTATTTTATTTTTAGTATGATGAAGCTAGAAAGTTACTCGATGAATCCCGGCAACTACCACGAATTTCTTTCTTCAGCAATATAGCTGTATATTTGTACAGCCTTGATAGAATTTTGTATAATTGTTATTTGTACAAAGAAACTATAAAGCATGAAGAGTACACTCGGTACATTGTTGAAACTTTGTATACTATCGTTAATTTGAACGAGGAACTTGCTTCGAGAAAATGTAACTTTAATCTACAAATAATATTTTTACTGTTAATTTTATCATATCGTTTAAAATTGCACTCCCATTATTTTTTTTTTTAGGGAAATATCAAGATAAACATCTTTTTGGTTTCGATATACTATTATCTGCAACCGTTAATTTATCTTTTCGAATGAATAGTTTATTATCTTTTCGAGAAATTGGTGCCCATTTAGTGCGACGATTAAAAACCGCACAAACTTTAGGAGCAACTATAAGAGTCGCAGAAATATTGAAATCACTTTGTTACATCGATTTATCACGCGCACAACTGAGTGACTGTGAAGTGAAACTTCAAGGGCTGGAGCATATTTTAAACATTGAAACGCTTACAAAATCGATGAATAATAATTGTACAAAAATCAATTCAGAAAATATTTTTGTATCACCGATTCGAAATATAGATCCTATCAGAGATGTTCCCCAAAATGATAGCTCACCCGTTCTCAGAAACAAAGTGTTCGATTTGCCTAAATTCATGTGCCATAAAAATTGCGATTGTTACATCTGTCAGAATGTAGCCTATCATTATTTGGTATTCGCGAGTACACACATCAGAGCACAATTATATGCGCTACAGAAAAATATTTCAGCATCATTGCAACATTTTTACGGTGCATTTAAAATAAAAGAAAATCTGATGAAGAAAGAAAAATACATAGCAAAGTGTAACAACGAATATTTTTCTTGGCAAGAACGATTTTATACCATAGATTATATACTATTGCTGATAAATTTTTCATACTTCTTGAGGAGTTATTTAGACACTTCGCAAGAAAAAATAATGAGTATCATTTTATTAGCAGCACAGATATGTGACATGAACAAATTGAAGGGACACCCAATTTATATAGCCGTTAAAGAATTAATAATTGACTGCCGTTTTCGAAAAATATTTGATATCTCTGATCATTCAAGTAAGTATTACGGTAAGGTAATATCTATTTATATTAAAACAAAATATAAGTAATATTTATTTTCTTGTAGAATTTACAGTTCCGAACTCTTCGGATATTAATATAAGTAAATACGTACAAGAATATAAAGTTGAGGGAAGCATTTGTGTGACACCAACTACCAATAATACTCGAGTGAAGAAACCTATTACCCTCCGACGTAATCGAACACCTCCACTTTTAAAATTGACTAAAGTTAGCATGGCTTTCAGTGATGATGAAGATAACACCCCTTCGCCACCATCGAGATATAAGAAAACAAGGTCGTCTAGTAGATTAACAAGAAGAAGACTCTTAAATGATGAATATTCTGACACTATTAGTCAGACAAAACAGGAAACAAAACAATTGAAAAATAATTTGTCCTTAGAGGGGGACAAAAACATTTCCATAAAAGATATAATCGAAAAGGTTGAATCTTTAGCACCAGGTATCTCAGAGCATTTATATAAAGTAGTAGATAAGAAAGACGAAGCAGCGACGACCAAAAATGTACAGAAATTAATCCATACGATAGAAAACCTTAAACAAAGTGCAACTTCGCAAAAGAGTGCCAGAAAAACACGAAATTCAAAGCCATTAATTTCAAACGATTATAACAATATTAATCAAGTAATTGCATTATTTCAAGACTTCGGTATCGACGAGAAGAAAAATAATCTTGATCCGTTGAATAAAAATGATGCAATATCTGGACATAGCAAAGATTGCATGTCTTCCGTTAAAACAGATTCTTTATCGTGCCAAAAACAAGATAGAATTAGCGAGGAGAGTAATATAGAAAATTTAGAACAAAATAATTACAGAGAAAATACAAGACTAAGGATTACAAAAAATTCTACGAATAGTGTTAAAAATAAACAAATGCATAATATTAAAACTAGAAAGTCTAAAGAAAAATTATAGCAATAACATAATACTATTGTCACTGTCGTATATTAAATATTATTATTTTTAAGTATTTTGTATTTTATCAAAAATTGAAGTTAATTTATAATAAAGCTAACGGAAATGTTTTAACAAATGGTTTTATCTTTTCAATCATGTTGTATTGGTTTTATGGATTAATTGAATACGGTTTATAAAATTTTAGAAAATATTTATTAAAATATTTCACATATGTACACATCTAGTAAAAAATAGTGAGA